CCATTATGTGGATTGTCTTCACTTTCTTGGTAGTGGCTCTTGAAATACAAAAGTTTTCCATTTTGATTATGTCCTTTTATCCATTTTTTTGGGTGCTTGTGCATTTGGTATTGTTTCAGAAAGGATTGCCTAATTAAAAGTCACAAAGAGAGGCACCGGGGTGGCTCAGTCAGTTGGGCTGACTCTTGATTTTGGTTCAGGTCATGATTCCAGGGTCATGGGATCCAGCCCTGTGTCTGGCTCCACATCCAATCTACTTGGGTTTCACTCTCTCTCTCTGCCCCTGTCCCCTGCGTGCATGCTCTTTCTCTCTCAAACAAAGAAAAAAAAATTTTAATTTAAAAAAAAAGGTCTTAAAGATGTATACCAATATTTTCTTTTAAGGGTTTTGTTGTTTGTTTTTGCATTTAGGTCTTTTTTTTTTAATTTTTTTTTCAACGTTTATTTATTTTTGGGACAGAGAGAGACAGAGCATGAACGGGGGAGGGGCAGAAAGAGAGGGAGACACAGAATCGGAAACAGGCTCCAGGCTCTGAGCCATCAGCCCAGAGCCCGACGCGGGGCTCGAACTCATGGACCGCGAGATCGTGACCTGGCTGAAGTCGGACGCCCAACCGACTGCGTCACCCAGGCGCCCCTACATTTAGGTCTTTAATCCATTCTGAGTTAATTTTTATATATGGTGTGAAGTAGAGTCCAACTTCATTCTTCATGTGAATATTGAGTTGCCCCAATATTGTTGAAAAAATATCTTATTTGTTGAAAAAAATCGTATTTTCCTATTAAATTGTCTTGGGTCCCACGTCTAAAGCCAATGGTTGTAAAAAGTAACTGCATATCCATCCTTATGATAGGACTGAATTTTTAGGATTGCTGTAGCTTTGGAGTAAAATTTGAGATTGGAAAGAGTGAGTTCTCGAAGTTTGTCCTGTTTTTGCAACTTTTTTTGTCTAGTTTGGGTTCCTTGCATTTTATGGATAATGGGCCCATAGAGTTCTTTACCATCCTGAAAATGAAACTCTTCTCTAGACCCTCTTTTAAAGGACTCATTTGATTGGGTCAGCTCTACCCATAATTTCTCCTTGTATTATCTTAAAGGTCAATGACTAAAGATCTTAATTACTTCTGCAAAATGTCTTCCTCTTTGCCATATAACATACCCTTATCACGGGAATGGTATCTCACATGTTTACATGTTCTACCCACAATCAATGGTAGGGAAATATACAGTGTATATACCGGGGGTATATCTTGGGGGTCATCTTAAATTTTTTTTTTCAACGTTTATTTATTTTTGGGACAGAGAGAGACAGAGCATGAACGGGGGAGGGGCAGAGAGAGAGGGAGACACAGAATCGGAAACAGGCTCCAGGCTCTGAGCCATCAGCCCAGAGCCTGACGCGGGGCTCGAACTCACGGACCGCGAGATCGTGACCTGGCTGAAGTCGGACGCCCAACCGACTGCGCCACCCAGGCTCCCCTTGGGGGTCATCTTAGAGATCTGCTTACCATAGTCTGACTTTTTTTTTGCCTTAAGCTTTATTTTGTCATTTTTTAAAAGACTGATGCTCTAATTTTCTTTTTGCTTCATATATGCCTATTTTTTCTGTCCTTTTATTTTTATCTTTTCTGTGCCTTCTTGTCTTAAGTGTATCTTTTGTAGATACCATGCTGTGGGTCTTTTTAGAAAAATGTAATCTGTGAATTTCAACATTTTATTTAATGAACTACTTCTATTACTATTATACTACATGTCTTCTCTGCCATTTTAAACACTTCTCTTTTATTGAATATTCTAATTTTATGTTTTTGCCCTCTTAGTCTAATTTTCAGTGCGTAAATTGAAGTTTCTTCTGCTAGTTCCATTTTGTTTTTGATTATTGCCCACTTAACTTCAAAGCCGTTTTCATGCTTATTTACTCCTGTGGCTCCCAGTTCCTGCCAAGGTGGTGAACTACCAGAGGCTATTTGGTCCTTCCCAGGATCAATGCTAGAAAGACTATAGAAATGAGAGAAATTGAGATTCCTGTAAACTAGCAAAGCATAAGAAAACAAAAACCATGTGAGACTCCTGTGGAGGCTACAGGTTTACTCTTGTTTTATGGTAATCATTATTTACCTTTTCACCATAGAAATTGGCAGCAACCTCCAGGGCTGCAGGTACCAGGGCTGTGGGGTCAAAATAAGACAAGCTTCCCTCCAGAAAGAAGAGCTGGTGAAAACCAGTGGGGTCAAGGTCTGCTTCCAGGAAGCTATGTAGCTCATTTCAAATCTGTGGTTCTATAAAGGGATTAAGACTGGTGGGGATATTGGCTTGGGGTGAATGTATTCTGCATGTAGGATTTTGCAAATGCAATGGAGAACCTTGAAATGGGGAGATTATCCTGGAATATATGGGTAGACCAGTGTAACCACAAAGGTCCTTGTAATGGGGGAGGCAGGAAGCTCAGAATCATAGAGACAGAGATATGAAAATGGAAGTAGCAGAGGAGATAGATGAGAGAGAGAGAGAGAGAGAGAGAGAGAGAGAAGTTGACAGAGAGAGGTTTGAAGATGCTTCATGGAGGAGGAGACAGTGAACCAAGGGATATACGCAGCCTCTGAGCTGGAAAAGAGAAGGAAATGCATTTCCCTATAGAGTCTCCAGGAGGAATGCAGACCTGCCTGTACTTTGATTTCAGCCCAGTGAAAAGTGTTCTGGACTTCTGACCTCCAGAACTGTAGAACAATAAATCTGTGTTGTTTTAAGTTGCTCAGTTTGCAGTAATTTGTTACAGCAGCAACAGGAAACTGAAACAGGTGGATTTTATTTTAGGGTGTCTGCCTCCTCTGAAGGTTGCTTCATCACAATTGAAAGGTGAATTCTTCACTTCAGGGATTGCTTAGTGGAGTGGCACAAAGCAGGTGATAGACAAGGCCTCTAGGGTACCTGGACCTTCATGCTCTGGGATGCATCACCTTCCCTTTCCTTAAGTTCACCAAATTTAAAGTCCTAATCCAGGTCACCATTCCAGACAGAGATGCTGGCACATCTCAGGGGAATGTGAACTTTCTGGCCAAAATAAATAAAAACCTGAGGACTACAATAATTAGGCTAAACCAAATAAAACCACTGTTATTATAGATCAATATCAGCCAAATATTAGCAATTCCTTGTGGTTCAACTAAATAAGAGTGATTAAACTATTGGCCGTGGACCAAATTTGGCTCATTGCCTGTTTTTTTCTTTAAGTTTTATTTATTTGTTTCTGAAAAAGAGACAGAGAGGGAGGAGAGACAGAGAGAGAGTGACCAGGAAAGGAGTAGAGAGAGGGATAGAGAATCCCAAGCAGGCCCCACACTGTCAGTGCAGAGCCTGACATCGGGCTCAAACTCACAAACTGTGAGGTCATGACCTGAGCTGAAATCAAGAGTTGGATGCTTAACTGACTGAGCCACCCAGGCACCGCCCCCACCACTGCATGTTTTTATAAATAGTTTTATTGGAACAGAAATACTTATTTATTTATTGGAACAGAGGCATATTGCCTCTGGTGGCTATCAGGATACAATGGCTCAGTTAAGAAATTCTTAGAGACTGCATAAAATATTTTCTATTTGCCTCTTTTTTTTAATTTTTTTTTCAACATTTATTTATTTTTGAGACAGAGAGAGACAGAGCATGAATGGGGGAGGGTCAGAGAGAGGGAGACACAGAATCTGAAACAGGCTCCAGGCTCTAAGCTGTAAGCACAGAGCCCGACGCGGGGCTCGAACTCACGGACCATGAGATCATGACCTGAGCCGAAGTCAGCCGCTCAACCGACTGAGCCACCCAGGCGCCCCTCTATTTGCCTCTTTAGAGAAAAAGTTTTCTGGTCCTTGCTCTATAATATACCATTTGAAGCAGAATTGTCAGACAAAATTGCTGAAAAATTTTAAACAAGCAAGATAAAATGATTAAGAAGGTAAAGAAAGGTTTTTGTAATCTGAAAAAAAAAATGGGCAAGCATTTATTTAAAAAAAAAAAGAACCATGTGGAAATAGTAGATATAAAAAAAAACCCAAGGGGTGGATAGGTAAAGCAGGGAAACAGGATATTAAGAGGGACACATATAAGAGAGAAATGAATCACGAGGTGGACAAGCTAGCTGGGAAATGCTCTCAGGAGGCAGCAGGAGATGATAACAAAATAATAAAGAGAAAAATGAACTGATGCAAAGGAGAGAAGTAAAAGTGACAACTGCAACAGTGGGAACATAGAAATCCCAAAGGAAACAAAAATAAAAAGTTAGAAATATTTGAAGGAAAAATGGAGACACATTGTCCAAAATTAAAAGGAAGACAAAATACCTCAGGTATAAAGGCTTTATATCAATCAGCTACAGCTGCAGCCTGAAAATCTCAGTAGCCTATAGCAAAGCATTTACTCCTCCCTGACAAGTATGCAGAATCACAAAAACAGCTTGACTATGTTCAGAGAAGCCCAGAATTAAAATTGTCTAGGTAATATCAACATTATGATGGGGTGTGTGTGTGTGTGTGTGTGTGTGTATACTTGTGAGACCAAAGGGTTATGAAAGTTAGAGGCATGATCTTTTACAAAGTCAACAACTATAACTATATATTTCTCTAAAACCTACCCTAGAAATACTGCCTTAATTGCGTGGATTTTAGTGTGTATTATTCTGCTGTTTGCAAAGACATGCTGTGTACTAACTTACTCCTTACCATCATAGCTAACCACAGCAAGTGTCTAGTACACAGTGCATGGGTCTCAGGGCTGACTGCAGCTTGGCTGATTGTTGTCAAGCCTATTCACAGGGTTGCATGTTCACTTGAGCCTGTCTTTTCTAATAACAAGCCCCACAGATATTCCCCCCACCACATCCCATTGGGGTCAGTGTTGTGGCTGGACTGGCCTTTCTGGTACCATTATGACAGAGGGACACACCTCAGCAAAATCATCAGAGAACTATGAATAACAAGTTTTATTACTCACAAGTCCTGGAGGGCATGTGACACACCTGGTGGCCACACAGCAAGGTCTCAGAGAGACAGAGAGAGAGAGAGAGAGAGAGAGAGAGAGAGAGAACACACAGACCTGGGGCTCCACCTTCATTAGAGGCTGAGGGAGAGGTATCCAGGGTTTCATGGGTTCACTCTTTATTAATAAATTTAAAGCAAAACAGGGGAGGTGGAGAGGCACCTGGCTGGCTCAGCTGGAAGAGCATGTGACTCTTGATCTTGGCATTGTGAATTCTAGATTACTCAACAAATTAAAAAAAAAACTTTAAAAAAAGGAATGGGAAATGGAGCATGGGAAGGGAGAAGTGGGGTCATTCACATGGTCAGGTATTGAGGTCACTCAAGGCTCTCTGAAAGAAGGACCTTCATGGTGGGGTGGTCTGCTTCCTTATCTAGTTGTTTGCTAGTGGTTGTGTCTATAGCTGGCAGTGTTTATTTGAGATAGATGTCTTTGAAATGGATGCCTTGGCAACCAAAACTCAAGACAGGCACTCACATTACAATCAATAAGCTTAATGTCAGGCACTTATACTACCTGGTCTAGGAGGTGTGGTGGTGTGGCTCCACTTTAGGATGATGCAGCTGGGCTTGCTTTCATGTGGGTTCTGAACATTGTTCTGGGGCCTGGATTGGGTGTTCCTACATGACATATTCTCAGTCTATGTCCTAGGGCACCCCCTTACCTTGGAAAATGACCTGAGGACAAGTGGATAAAGGCAGTACATCTTAACATCTCACTATAATCCTGACACATGGTCACTTCTGCCTCCACTGCACAGGCCTAAACCAGTCATATGCCCAAATCCACCACAATGGATGGAGAAATAGATTCAATCCACTGTAGGGGGAGGTCCTGAGAAGGCAATGGGTGCAGATGAACCTTTCTTAAACAGGAAGGCTTGGAGGACTTCAGTGATGACTCAGTCTGTGAAACTTGGTTATATAATGCTAAATGAACAAATCTCAGTCCCAGGAGTCTTACATACACTGTGGTAGTTATCCTTTTACAAAGTACAAACCCAAGCAAAACTAGGCACATCAGGTGTGCAAATAAAGGCAGGGATGATAAATATGAAATTCAGGTAAGGGTCACTTTGGGGGACACTGGGTATTGTGTATTAAAAAAGGAGCACATATTTTCAGATATTGATAACATTCTAGCTCTTGGTTTGGTCGATGGGTCGTGGGCTTTTCATTGCCTCATACAGCCACACATGGACCAATGCCAGGTGTGTCATGAACAAAGGAAAACATCATGTTTAAGCAAACTCTGGACAACTCCAGTTCATAAGCAAAGAAAAAGACAAGCAAACAAAAAACTCAAATGCACCATAGAGGCAGAGAAAGTCAAACAAGTGGTTTGGATTTGGTTATTAATTAGGAAATGGCTGATGGGCATTTAGTGGAGTTACTCTAGCAGCCAAGACTCAGTGGGCCCTGGTGTGGTGGGACTCCCTGTGCCAGAGACTCTCTGAAGTGGACTTTCTTTCTGTTGGGCTGTGTCTCTGGGGTTGGTCCTTGACGATGGAGCCCAGTAAGGGCCTTGGGGTACCTCTCAATCTATATGGGCTCCACTCCTGAGGGGCCTCACCCACCCTATTTCCCTGTGTCATGGGAACCATCAGAGATAGGAAAAAGTTTGTCTCCATTTTACAGATATGGGTGTTGGCTTTCAGAATTATTAGGTCCCTGGCCTGAGGGCTACCGTTGGGTAAAATAGAAGTGGAATGGAGATCCATGTGCCCTGATCCTTGCAGGCAGCTAGTAGTAGGTGGGAGTAGGTAGGGAGTAGGTGAAAGTAGGCAGGAATAGTAGCTGGGAGTAACTGGGAATAGATGGGAGTAGCTGGGAGAGGCACTTTAGATTTGGGTGGGGGCAATGACACTTGTGTTGAGATTTGCAGGTGTATGAACTACTGGATGGAGGTGAGGGATGAACATCCAGCAGAGGCAACGTCAAGCCCCAACAAGGAGGCTGGGCCTGAGTATGGAGGCAGGGCACTGCTTGGTCCTTGGTGAGGTGGGAGGGGCTATTAGAGATGTGGTTGAAGATGTGGGTGCACACAGCTAAAGTGTGATCAAGATGCCTTCACATTTGTTTTATTAAAAAAATTTTATCTATGAAGAATTGGTTATTTAGTGTTTTGCATCCTGGTTCATGTGCACGTTGATACACAAGAAACATAAATGCAGTACACTAGTTTTCAAACCGACTGTGCACTGAAACCCTAGAAACTTTAAAAAGTGATTATTTCCTCATCACTGGGCCCTCTCCGAAGATTGATTTTAATGGTGGGAGTGGCCTCGGTACTCCTTAAAACACCCTAAGTGCCTTTAACATGTAGCAAAATTTGAAAATCATTGATATGTTACTAGCACAGAATTAACAGTTTGGCAGTATATACTAACTTTTAATTTGAATAAAGCTTTTGCATCAATTTTCTATCTAGTCTTCTATTATACAGAAATAACTGTGTAATTTCATAAAGATATTGGAAAAGTATTGTCCACTACAGTACTGTTTGTAACAGCTGTAAATGAGAAACAAACCAAACAACCATCAACAGGCAGTCAGTTTAAATACAATAGGGTATATTCACACTGCAATGTTTCACATATTTATGCCTGTCTATGATTTCCTATACATTGCCACTTCTCATGGTCAAGAGCCCATCAGTCTTCTGGCTCTGAGATAAATGCCCACCTCTCTGCCCCTGCAGAAACTTGCTGGACATTGACTTGGGATTTTCACAAGAAGCAGAATATCTAAGAGCTCAGGGTTGCATGCACCCCTTCTGCTAAGACATGGTTTTGAGCATCAGGTGGGCTGAGTGACCCTCACCTTGGCAATTACAGCAGAATGAAGTGCTATCGGCTCAAACAGAGGGAGTCCAGAGGCCAAAATTTAGGAAGCTGGGGTCACTGCACAAGTGGGCAGGAAACTTCTGGGGGCCCCCACAGCTTGCCTGTTGTATGTGAACTGCCTGCACTGAAAGACAGTGGCAGTGTCACAGGTGCTGGATTACATCACAAAGTGTGACATGCCTGCAAGGGCATGGACAGGGAAGAGTATCAGAAGTGAGGGAGGCCCCTGACCAGGGCCTAGGCACAAACTGAGCACTAGAGAGCCAGGAGAACCACAGGCTGGGGCGTGGGCCATAGCCAACGGCAAAAGGAGGAGGGGGCAGTGACTGGGTGCAGCCAGCTGGAGAACACCTAGAGAGTTGGAGCCAGGAAACCTTGGAGCAGCAACATTTTTCACGGTCACATCTTACAGGCCTGAGGTACAAAAACAGGAGTGGGGGGTGAGGTGCACAAGGTAGTTGCTGGCATACCTGGGCCTAAGTGTTCTCCATGAACTGCAGACCACACCTGGGGTATAGAGGGCGGAAGGCTGGTGGCAGGGACTCTTTAACTGGCTTCTTGTAGGTTTATTTCCTTGGAGACACAGATAGCCCTAAAGAGTGAACATAATGGCTCTTTCTTGAATGCAGCTGGGCTGATGCTATTGTAAGATCTTTGAATCTTTGGTGGCAGCAGAAATTGCACCCTACCTGCAGCTCCAGCCCTGAGAGGACGAGGAGGCTCACCTGTGTCCCTGGACGGAGGGACCATGACCAGATCCTGGGGGTTCTGCTTCCTCCTGATCACCATTTTGGTGGCCCTGGTGGCCAGCACAGATCCAGACAAGAATAAAGTCAAAGTGTTGAGGGAATTAAAAGTGATCAATGCCTCAAATGCCAACGTGAAGCAGTGTCTGTGGTTTGCCATGCAAGAATACAACAAAGAGAGTGAGGATAAGTACATCTTCCAGGTGATCAAGACAGTACAAGCCCAGTTGCAGGTAAAGGTGTTCTCTCCCAATATGTATATTTGCTATGGTGGCACAGACTGAAGCCATACTGAAAGAATGGGCTTGCAAGAAAAACAATGATACATGAAAGTTCTAAATATGTGAGTGCTCAAGTACATACTCACTTGCATGTCGCTATAATATCACTGCACTTTCTATATATGCTTATAGTGTTGTTCTAAGTACTTTATGTGTATTTATTCATTTAGACTCTAAACTGCAAATCAAATGTCCATGATTTGCATTTGCTAGTATTGGGAGACAAATTGAGTGCCATGAATATTTTGCAATAATGCTGCTGAAGGCAACATTTCAATCTAAACACATAGCGTGCATTGTGGGGTTGAAAAGAGACATGTGGCACTATTCAATATGTAAGTAATGAAGTCCTTCCTCCTATATTCTATAATTATTTGAATCCAACATTCATTTAGTGGAAGTACAGACATTCTGATTTAGTGTTTAGAAAAATGTATCCCTCCTCACATGACTATGCATGGTCCAAATGCTAGGAAGGATTGCTTACTTGGATTCCATTGAGGGTGACTTGAAACACATGGCCTTGGGGCGCCTGGGTGGCTCAGTCAGTTGAGTGTCCAGCTTCAGCTCAGGTCATGATCTCACGGTTTGTGAGTTCGAGCCCTGCGTCGGGCTCTGTGCTGACAGCTCAGAGCCTGGAGCCTACTTCCAATTCTGCGTCTCCCTCTCTCTCTGCTCCTACCCCGCTCATGCTCTGTCTCTCTCTCTCTCTCAAAAATAAATAAACATTAAAAAAAAAAAGAAACACATGGCCTTGCCTGCCATGGTTGAGAAAAATCCCCCAAAGCTGGAATTCATCTGACTGTATCATCCTCATTCTGTGGGTTGATGCTGTGGCTTGTAATTCCACCGTGAAACTTTTGGAAATGAATTTTAAAGATACTTACCAGAGACGTCATTGTTGGCTGAGTTTACTTCATTTTTTATATTCTCCATATGCCATGTTCATTTGCAGGAACTGAGCCAGTTTCTCTGTTGGTACTTCTGACCCTGTCTCTTTGGGACCATGTGAGCCACCAGCCTATATCTCCAGTACACTATGCTGATAGCACTCTGTTTATTGACTGGGTACACTGCATAATTCACCAGGGAACTCCTGCAGCCCTTTGAAATAGAGAATGGATTCTGACTCTTGTAGCTTCCCCAGCCCCCATAACAGTTGTCTTTCTTTGATATCCATGTAGCACATGCATTCAGCAAGTTTCTCTCAGCCACTTCTATGCTAACTGCTATAGATGGGGAGGTGAGATGGACAGAAATAATCACATTCCCAGGGAGCCAGCATTCCAGTCAGAAAGAAACAGCACTAAACCTGGAATGAAAGCTGGGGCATCTGACCTGGTGGCGTGGTACCTAGGGGTCTGGGGTCAGGGGAAGGCTTCCTCGAACAGACTCTCACCTGAGGAGCTTGTAAATATCCTACTGTACCTGCTGCATCATCACCAATTTAATGAAGATCCATGTGTGAGACCTAGGTCTCAATAGGCATTAAAATCTTCCAAGTGATCCCAATACACAGTCAAGGCTGAGAACCACCTCCCTAGGGTGTGTTTTTGAAGCTAAACCTGAGGGCAGACTAGGAGGGAATCAGGTGAAGGATGCTGGTGGGAAGTGTTTCTGTTTGGGTTTGCCACAGCAGATGCTAGTGCTAGAAGTCAAGTGCAAGTGGTTTATTTGGGAGGCCATCCTGGGAAGCACCAGGAGGTTGGAGGGGAAGGGAGGTGGGGGAAGTGGTCAGTACAGACAGAGTTACTATGCAGGTGGCCACATTGGCCTCTGGGCTTGGTCTTCCTGGGGCTTCAGGAGAGGGTGCATAGCCTGCCTTGGAGTTGAGCCACACTATAAGATAGGAGCTTGGTTGCTTACGTATCAATTCCTGTCTGTCATTGGCTAAGAACTACTCTTGGCTTCTCCTCCTGGTCAGGAAGCCTCCAGGCAGGGAACCCTGGGAAGTGACAGTGTGTTTTGGGAACAGCAAGGCAAGGGCCATGGGCACCACTCACAGCATCTGCTGCAGGACAGGAGCAGGGGGGGTGGTGGGAAGGTGCACAGGGTTTGGGAAGATCAATCAGGCATAGAAGGCTGCCATTGGGAAGGAGCGTGGCCCACTTCGGCAACTCAAAGGAGCCAGTGTGACTGGTAGGGACCAGACCATGCAGGGTCTTGAAAGCCATGGGCAAAATCTTTTATTCTATCTTAGGAATGCTGAGATGCCAAATAAACATTAGGTCAGGGAGTTCTAGGGATCCATGTGATTAGACTGTTTTTTTTTAAGTTTATTTATTTATTTATTTTTAATTTTTTTTTTCAACGTTTATTTATTTTTGGGACAGAGAGAGACAGAGCATGAACGGGGGAGGAGCAGAGAGAGAGGGAGACACAGAATCGGAAACAGGCTCCAGGCTCTGAGCCATCAGCCCAGAGCCTGATGCGGGGCTCGAACTCACGGACCGCGAGATCGTGACCTGGCTGAAGTCGGACGCTTAACCGACTGCGCCACCCAGGCGCCCCTATTTATTTATTTTGAGAGAGAGTGTGTGCACAACTTGCAAGAGTGGGGGAGGGGCAGAGAGAGAGAGAGAGAGAGAGAGAGAGAGAAAGAGAGAATCCGAAGCAGGCTCTACCCTGACAGCATGGTGATTATCTTGACTGATAATTGGATAGTCACTTAGTTCCTCTGCTTAGTTTCCTTCCCTGAAAACATTGGTAGTGACAGCCTCACTGTAGGGGGTTAGTGTGTGGGCATGTACCAAGGCCCAAGAACAGTGTTATGCAGGGAGCAAGCACTCCGTGAGCGTTAGCAAGTGTTAGGGCTTGATAAGAAGTGCTGTGGGTGTTTGGGTTTGCCTCCATGGTATTTTTGAGGTTCCCTAAGGACCAACTTCATTCTCAAACCAGCAGCTATTGATGTTATCTAACCAGCTTCTCCCATGCAGGCTAAAGTCACCTTGTTAATTCTTTGAAATGTAACTAAAATTTAATACCACTTTATTAAAGGCTGCAGATAGCAATGAAGAAAGACACTTCTTTTTTCCTCCTACTATAATCTTTTAAAACCAGATGAAAGTTGATTTAAACAGGCATAATGAGTAGCTTTAACCAGAGTCAGTCATTAATGAGTTCAGTAACTACTGATGCCTTGCTGTAGACCTGTTTGTCTGCTTACTAAACACTCAACAGAGAACAATATGACAAAATCCAACCAGCATGACACTTTTAAGGGTTGCTTCCTAAGGTGGGGGGAAGCCCTCCAAAGCAGGAGATGTCACCAGAAAACAGACTATGAAGGGAGGTGTGGGAAAGGAATCAGGGAGGGGCATCCAGTGTGGCCACAGGGCCTGTCCTCCTATCTTTTCAGTGTGAACCTGTAACATTTTGGGCTCGGGAGAGCTGATGGTTCTGGTGACTCATCCTTCTCCCACATCTCATGAAGCATGCCCTGGACTTTGGGACAGAAATAGAATTATAAAGTCTTGCCTTCAAGGAGGCCCTACACTGAAAAGGAGACTTTTCCTTGAGCATACAGCTCCAGGTAGTGGTTTCCAATGTCTAACTGGTATCAGCATGCAAAGGAATCTAGGCAGTGGATGTCATAGACCTTCCTCTAAAGATATGTTTGAGAGAGAAGGGGTAGGGAGTAGGAGATAGGGAGAGAGGATGAGGGGGAGAGCATTTTTTTAAGTTTTTTTTTGGCTAAAACTTTAACAAAGTAAAATAAGTTTTTTTTTAATAAAATTGCACAATTGCTAATTGACAGGTCACAGATCGTTTGGAATACTTTATTGATGTTGAAATTGCCCGCAGCAATTGCAGAAAGCTTTCAAATGGTACTGAAAACTGTGTCATTCAAGAGAACACCAAACTAGAAAAGGTAGGTGACTAACATTCTGTGATGGTCTTGGCTGCTCTGAGCCCTAGTAAGAAGAACTTGGGGTGCACACACCCTCTCTCTAAGGTCTGGATCACTCCCCAAGTTTTTGTCTAGACATGGGCAACCTTGTGACTTTTAGAGCAGAGGCAACAGAGTGATGGAATGTGGTGGATCCCTCTGAGTCTTTCCCCACCCCTCACCCTAGGGACAGAATGCTGTCAGGGTCATTCTTATTGTGAAAGCTTCATCAACTCTGGCCTCCTGGTGCAGAAAAACTTTCCAACACATGTTCACTGAAAGTCTATCCTCTTTGACCAAGATGAGCAACCTAACCATTGGTAGCCCCACAGTTGCTCATCCTTGTGAAGGCACAAAAGGAAACCTGTTCATTCACTTAGCTACTCACCAAAGCTTACTTTGCACCAGGTGCTATTTTGGGTGCTGAAGATTAAGCAGTGACCAGGCCAGACAGTGTTCCCATCCTTCCAGACCTACAGTTGATTCTTGCCAGGGTCAGCCATGATTTCCAGGAAGGTCATAGAAGAGCCCAAAGATCCCCACCAACGGGCTGACCTGACTCAGGAGCTTTTAGCATCAAGCCTGTATTTCTGATCTCAGAGGTGGGGAGAGCCCCAGATTCATGCAAGAGATTGGTGAAGGCCCCAGACTTTCTGCAGGTTTGACCAAGAGGTGTGTCTTTGCCTTTGTTTACACCAGTGGTTCTTTAAGTGAGCAGGCACCAGAATCACCTGGAAGCCTCGATAAACCCAGAAGACTGGGTCTTACTTGCAGAGTTTTGGATTCAGTATGTCTTCAGTAGGTCTGGAGTGGGATCCCAACACTTACATTCTTAACAAGTTTCCAGCCGCTGATGCTGCTGCTGGCTGTGGGACCATACTTGGAGAACCACTATTTCATGTAGCCATGGAACAGGAAATTGCAAAGGCCCATTAACAAAGTGTACTTCTGCTATGTCTCACTAAAGCTGACACTGTATGCTCAAACTGAACAAATCCAATCATTTCCAGTTAATAGTAGACACCTATCAGGGCAAACATTTAAACAGGGAGTATGTCTTCATGCCATCTGGCTTTTATGTTACTTTTCTTTATCTTTTACTGTTAGTAGAAGTATGGGTGATTCAAATTTATATTCTCTACAGAGCCCATTAGGATTATAGAAAAGTTGTTCCTTTTTTACCTGTTTATAGAAAATCTTAGAATTAAGGAGAATTGTCCTCAAGGAGCTCACTTATTTTATCTAAAGCTTCCATGGACCATCCCAAATTTTAAGGTGCATGTTTTTAAGCACACACATTTGTCAATAATGAAAACTATTTTTTTTTCTTTCCAAGTCTTTGGAATAACACTGAAGAATAGTAATGCTGGGAAGTTTTTCTTATTCCTGGCTTTGATTACGGTGCTTTCAGTATTTATATCTTATTTTAAATATTATACCAAGTGCTGATTTCTGGAATTCTTCCAATTCCTTCTGCCAAGAGTTATGTTTTTTTTGAATTAAGAATGTTTCATCTATCAATTATTCTTTCAGTGTCTACCAAGTATATTGAATAATTGTTCTTCTTTGATCCATTAGTGTAATAAAATAATGAATTCACTAATAGTCATTCTTACATGTCTAGAATATGGCCTTTTTTGAAGGGGACTTTATAGCTTGGATTGTCAGTGGTTTGTTCTCCATGTTGACTGACTGTAGGTTGTTCAAAGTGGTGACAATTACATAGGTAACTGGTATATAAGCTTGTTAAGGGAATCTCTACCTTCATTAAGTATTCTGGACAATTGCACATGAATATGGCATGGCACACTCCTTATTCTTTTGACCCAGACAGCTTTGCTGAGCTTGGTGTCAATATGCACATTCATCTCTTTCACGTCAAATTTGTAGCTCTCTCTGAATTTTCTGGGGGCACACTTCTTGAAGGTCACTCCATAGATGTTTTATGAACATGGATGGTGTATTCTCTGGTCACATCATTGATGCCAGAACAGTCTTTCTTCTTGCTGCCTTTCTTTGTGGGAGCCATTCTGTTAGGCCCAGTTTGGAAATGAAGAGCATGATGGATTGTCTGCCTTTGTCTTTTAGAACATGGTGGGATTTGGGGGTGGGGGGAGGAGTTAAGATGGTGAAGTAAAGGGGACTTGGATTTTCCTTGTTCCTCAAACATAGCTGTATTGAGATCACATCACCTGGAACACCAGGAAATAGATCTGCAGAGTGGCAGAAGGATCTCCACAGTTGGACAGCTTGGCAGGGTCAAGGTGTGTGTGTATGTGAGTTGGGGGAGATAAAACGGAAAACTTATGAAGGAGAGGGAACCCTTTCTGTGGAGACACAAAAGAGAGAGAGAGAGGGGTTGTGAAAGTGTGGCATTGAGTTAGCACAAGAGGAAAACCTCTTTGGGCCATACACCAGAGAGCGAGAAGTACCGAGTGTACTAGTTCTTTTTTGCAAACAGCCTTTAGAACTGTTTCAAAATTCCAAGGTTTTGAAAGTGTGTGACTTTTTCCAGAGTGGATCCATGGCACGTGCTCCTGGGGAGGAGGGAGCTAGCCCTGGAGTACATAGTGTGGATCAGCAATCTCCGGGGTGCATGGGAGAGAACAGTCTCCTTCCTGGAGTGCTTTGGCAAGAGGGTTTATTGTCTCCCTAAGGACAGAACCCCTGCAGATGCCAGCCAAAGGCCTTTCATCAGCAGGGTGGAAAGCCTCTACTCCAGAGGAGGGGCGCAGGTCTGCACTATGCCAGGTCCTTTAAGTCTTCAGGTTTTGAATCCCAGCTGAATGCCAAGGACAAGCTGCAGGAGAATTGTGGCACAGGGCAAGCTCACTGCCCTTGCTATTTTTTGAAGGCTACGTGAACAGCAGGATTGAGACACCTGGTCTGGGAAGGAGAGATTGGGATGATGCCATTTTCCCCCCAACATCAGCAGGGTGGGACTTCGTAGAGCAGCACAGTGGCCCCTGGTGGAGGCAAGACACCAAACACTGCTTCTCTGTGCCTGACTAATGCTGATTTATTGGGTCAAGACTGAACCAAAGCAGCTGGCCTCTCCTCCAGACCAGCAGAGCCACCAGCCCCAGGCACCAACAGGCAACTCTTTCTTTTCTCCCTTTCTTTCCTCCATCTTCTTTTTTTCTCTTGGAATCAGGCTCATAGTTTCTGACCTTTTTGTCATTTCTTATTTTATATATAAGAAAAATTTTAATATATTGTATATATAATTTTATATATTATATGTAGGCTATATATAATATATATAATATGATATATTATGTATAAATTATATATAATACATATAATACATATACATAGTACATATAATACATATATAATATTATATATAATATTATATATAATACATATATATGTATATATACATATATATGTATATATACATATATAATATTATATATATATATCTCAGTCTTTTCTATTCTTTTCCATCTTTTCTATTTTCTTCTGCCTTTTTTCTTCCCTTCTCTTTCCCTGAAATCAGTCATAGCTTTTTGATTCTCTGTTTGGTTTTCTTTTCTCCTCTTTCCTTTTTCTGTTTTTATGGGATCAGCCTCACTCTTATTATCCAGAGTTACTTCAACAAATCAAAGCACACCCTAGTTAAAGGTCCAAATACTCCACCACTGCAAGTAAGGAGGAACTGTCCAGAGGACTGACCAGTGGGATATAGTAGCCAAAACACAACAGCAGAGTGCACACAGTATACACCAGAAACACTTCTGGAGTGCCAGGCCCTGAACAGAGTATGACCCCTTTTTAATACAGTAGTACTCTCAGGTGCAGGACACATAACAAGCTTTTAAAAAATGCCAAAGACAGAAACTTAGCCCAAATGGCAAGACAGAGGAATTATCCCTCAAAGAAAAGTCAAGAAGAAATAACAGCCAAATTATTGCTCATATAACTGAATAAGAATTTAAAACAACAGTCATAAAACAACATATTGTCTTGAAAAAAGCAGTGAACGCACCAGAGAAACCCTTGCTGCAGAGATCAAAGACCTAAGAACTAGTCAGGATGAATAAAAAAAAATGCTTTAACGTGAGATGAAAAATAAACTAGATACAGTGACAATGAGGACTGAAGAAGAAGAAGAGAGAATAGATGAAATAGAAAATATGGAAAATAATGAAGCTGAAAAAAAGAGGGAAAGGAAATTACTAGATCATGAGGGGAGAATTAGAGAACTAAGTGATTCCATGAAGCAAAACAACATCTATATCATAGGAGTCCCAGAAGAAGAAGAGGGAGAAAAAGGGACAAAAGGTTTATTTGAACAAATTGTAGCTGAGAACCTCCCTAATCTGGGGAAGAAAACAGGCACCAAGTCCAAGAGACATAGAGAACTCCCTTCAAAATCAATAGAATATGGTGAGATTCAACATGCTACTTTTTTTATTTAGGAATTTTGATTATATATACATTAAGTACTCTTAAAACTTCCCTAATGTTAAAAAATCAGGGGTGCTTAGCTGGCTTAATTTGTAGCGTGTGTGACTCTCGATCTTGGGTTGTGGATTTGAGGCCCTCATTGGGTGTAGAGATTACTTAAAAAAAAAAAAAAAGAATCACTTGCAGCATGTGGTGAACACACACACACACACACACACACACACACACACACACATTCCATGACCTCATCCCAAACCTACTGAATCAGAATTTTCAGATACAGACACTCCACATATTTCGTATCACTGGGAATGTCTGAGAAACAGTGCATCAGGGACATTAAATATTTAATATGTAACTGACTTTAATTTGCTAGTATTTTGTTTTAAGATTTTTGTTTTAGATACATTTGAGCTTTTTAGCATTTATTTTCGAGAGAGACAGAGAGCATGAGTGAGGGAGGAGCAGAGAGAGGGAGACACAGAATCTGAAGTAGGCTCTAGGCTCTGAGCTGTCAGCACAGAGCCCACAAACCGTGAGATCATGACCTGAGCTGAAGTTGGATGCCCAATTGACTGAGCCACCCAGGCACCCCTCCATTATATATTTTTTAATTAAAAAAATTTTTAAATTTAAATTCAAGTTAACATACTAACTGTAGTCTTGGCTTCAGGAGTAGAACCCAGTGATTCATCTCTTACATATGACACCCAGTGTTCATTCTGAAAAGGTACCTTCCTTAAGGCCCATCACCCGTTTAACCCATCTTCCTACCCAACACCCCTCCAGCAACCCTCAGCTTTTTCTCTTTATTTAAGAGCTATATTTTAGTTTCAGGATTTTTCTGGTCTGGAATAATAAGAATGAAGGCTCTCCATCTTTTGTGTGTGTGTTGTGATCAATTTAGAGATCATGGGAGCTTTTGGTTCCCAAGATTTGGTTATAATTTGTCTATAAAGCCATCTAAGTTTGATATTTTTTGTCTGGGTTTCTGGGGGAAAAGGCCTCTTTAGTCCTTCTTTGCATGTGTCCAATATTCAGCAGACACCAAGCTTCCCTTATCTGACTCCTAACAGCTTATTGGGAGTACTTCAATGCTTCCAGGTATTTAGGATGCTCTTTGCTGTTTTTCCAGGATTTCTATATATATATATGATCTCTCTCTATCTATCATCTATCTATCTATCTTCTATCTATCATCTGTAATCTGTCTATATATCTACTTATCTATCCATCCACCCATTGATTTATCACACACACATAGAATATTCATTTATTTCAATATCTATCCATCCACCCATTGATTTATCACACACACATAGAATATTCATTTATTTCAATAGTATTTTGAAATGGAGAGAAGAGGGGCACCTGGGTGGCTCAGTCGGTTAAGCGTCTGACTCCGGCTCAGGTCATGATCTCATGGTTTGTGAGTTCGAGCCCTGCATCAGGCTCTGTGCTGGCACCTCAAAGCCTGGAGTCTGTTTCGGATTCTGTGTCTCCCTCTCTCTCTGGCCCTTCCTCTCTCTCTCTCTCTCTCTCTCTCTCTCTCAAAAGTAAATAAACATTAAAAAAATTTTGAAATGGAGAGAAGAGCTCTTTGGAATAAAAGATGGTAAGTGCTAGAAACCCTTTAAACTGGTCTTGTTTAAAGACAATGTCTTGTAAAAGACATTATTTAATTAAGATAATATATGTTAGTTTATATCTGACATAAAATTGCTTTATTTACATTGTGGAAAATATTAAAGGGAATTAAAATCAATTTTATATCTGATCTCCCAGAAAAACACCATGATTGTTAGTATTTGCTGTGTATCCATGGTTGGTCTGGGAACAGAGACCCTTCCAGGTATCTGCTGTTGGTTAGAAACATCTAGCAGATTCCTGGGAGCATTCCTTGATGGCTGGTGACCTATTGTCTAGCATATTCCTAAGCTAACACCTAGCAACAGGACATTTTTTTTTCTTTTTGGCATTACTGATTTTGTTGTGGTTGTGGTCTTTTTCAGAAAGTAATGTGTAGTTTTTTGGTCGGAGCACTCCCCTGGAATGGTGAATTCACGGTGATGAAGAAGCAGTGTGTGGATGCTTAGGGGGTTCTGGAACTCGCCCCTACCACCATCTCTACCTTTCTCTGTAAAGAGAAAAATGGCATGCACTAGTATTACCATTGTGGTTTCCTCATGCACGCCTCTCTGCTTGTTTTGTTTCCTAGTTTCCTAGTTTCTTATTAGGTGATAACAAAAGATGGGTATGTCCAATTCTTTTTTTTTTTTTTGCCTCAAGGGGGGCCCCTTGACTTTGGCCAGCTTGGTGGCTCACCACCAGGAATAAGTTTGTCCCTGACTACAAAGTTTGGAGTGAAGTATGATTCCATTCTCACTGCAAATCTGAGGAGGGATCCCTTTTTGATTAGGTAACAACTCCTTCCAGAGGTCTTAAGCCAGTGGGTGTTAACTCAGCAGGTTCCTTCTGGATACCTCCTTTAACCTGAGGCTCCTTCCTCCTGAGGGTCCTGAGCCCACAGGTCACCTGGGTTGGGAGAACCCCTTTGGAGGAACAGTCTTTCCCTTCAGGGTCTCTGTGAAGTAGGGAATGTGTGTTTCTTCTCATGTAAATGTCAACAGTGGTCATACAGAGAGAGGGGGAGGGCAATAATGCCTTAATAAGCTGCATTGTTGTTGTTGTTGCTGTTGTTGTGTGTGTGTAGAAATAGAGAGAGACTGAGAAAGAGGGAGGGAGGGAAAGAGAGAGAGAGAGATGATTGGGAATGTGGAGAAGGAAATAGGAAAACAGGGATGATAGCAGGAGATGAAATTCTCTTGAAGAAAATCATCATTAAAAATAAGTCTGTCTAGGGGTTCATGGGTAGGCTCAGTTGGCTAAGCATCTAACTCTTGATTTCAGCTCAGGGTATGATCTCACAATTGTGAGATTGAACTCTGCATCAGGCTCTGTGCTGCACATGGAGCCTGCTTGGGATTCTCTCTCTCCCTCTGCTCCTCACCTGCTTGTGCTCCCTTTCTCAGAATAAATAAATAAACTTAAACAAGTCTGTCCAATGGGGAATTATTTAATGGGTACTGAGCTTTGCAAGATGAAAGGGTTGTGGAGATTAATTACAGAATAGGGTGAATATACTTAATACTACTGAACTGCACATTTAAAAAGGGTTAAGATGGTTGGGACACCTGGGTGGCTCAGTTGGTTAAGCATCTGACTCTTGATTTCTGCTCAGTATATGATCTCAGAGTTCATGAGATTGAAAGCCCCACATGCAGCCCCACATAGGGTTCTGCGCTGATAGCACTGAGCCTGTTTGAGATTCTCTCTCTTCCTCTCTGCCCCTCCTCTGCTTGCGCTCTCTCTCTCACACTCTCTCTCAAAACAAATAAACTTTAAAAAAATGGTTAATATGGTAGATTTTATGTGTACTTACCATGATTAACATTTTAAAAAAATAAGTAGATATAGCTGTTTTAACTGTGGTGTTGGGTGTGATTCCAGAGGCCAAATAAATTTCAAATGTGCACATGCACTGGCCAGGCTTCACATCACAGGGCCTGGCAAGTGGTAGGGATTGCAGTATTTCTGCCCCAGAGTGAAAGAGGCCATGAAACTCAAAGCCATTCCTTTTGTCTCTAGTCCCTGTGTTTTACCTAATGGATGTTTCACATGTGAGAAAACATACCATTTGGAGTGGCAGGGGACAAGTGACATTCACCTTGCAAAGACCTTGCTCTTCCTCTGGCTGTCTCTGCTCTCCCCTCATCAGCCCCCCATGGTTCTCTTCCAGGCACACCCACCTCCATGCCCACTTTTCTCTGAGGAAGTGCTGCCCTACTTTCTCTTCCCCTTCTCAATATCCTCATTAGGGTTTGGATCTTAAACATATTTTTGCATTACTTGGATTTACTTATTACAGGACATACTTATTATAGGACCGTACTTATCCTGATTAAAAAGGTTATTTCCTTTAGGCCAGGAGATCTCCATCAAAAATCCCTCCCACCCCCACCCCTCCACCTTGGATACACTGATGGAACACCCCATATGAGAGCAGCAGACCCAGCACCCAGTTTTGGGGGGCTTGCAGGACGGGTCAGCTTACAGCTTTGTGGGTCTCTGCTGTTTGTGGAACAGTGTAAGTACATGTAAGTATCTTAGGAAAGACTGTTTTTGGAACAACATTGTGGAATTGTCTTTTCTTATGGGCAGGTGGGCAAGAAGCACAGGGAATCAGACATCTGGAGTAGGCAGGACCAGAGACGTGCTTTGTATGCACATGTGCTTATGTGCAGGGGTCTATTTCTAAGTATATTTTAACTAACATTAAAGTTTTATTTAATTTAACCTCATCTCTTTTCAACCTATCTCTCCAAATCTCTTTTATTTCCTCTCTTTAAACATTAAATAAAATGCAAGGCTTTCCTTTGCTGGATTTCATGTCCTTTTTGCTAAGATGTTATTATTGTGCTCTCTCTCTCTCTCCCTCCAACACACACACACACACACACACACACACACACACACACACACACACGTTCACTTCCCCTGTGGAGGAGGAGAGGAGTCCCCCAAGCTAGTGTCTGAAGTCTCCACTAGGTTCTACTAAAACTCCACCTGTAGGGCCTGGACCCCAAGGTCTGTCTGGGTCTGGGACACAGGAGCACCAGGGCCATGGGAGGCCATGGACATCTGGGAAATGGGGCTTAACCAGAAAAGCCACATGGCCTTGGATGCTGCCCAGGCTCAGCACTGATTTCGGCAGTGGGGGGGGGGGTGGTGTCCCATGCCCATTCTTGCAGGGTGACCAGTCATGGACATTCTGTATGTGAGAGCAAGGAATGAATGCATTTAGTCCAATCCTGGGCTGGGTGATTGACACCCCACAAGCTAGTGGGAAATGAGGTCAGAGGCAGGGGCCTGCCAGGACCAGAAGTGAGTGCTCTGGGGACACATGGACAGCAGTGGAAGGGAGCTCAGGGCCTCATACCTAGGAAAAGGCCAAGTGGGCCATGTGGAGAGTGCAGCCTGGTCTTGCTCTCCATCTCAGAAGATGTGAGCGTTGTCCCAGATCTGTCACTTTCTATTGTAGTACCTTTACCACTGAACCTACTCTTGGTCTGTACACCATGATCTGGGAGAGCATCTGGACTACCTGGCTCCCAAGGCCTGCTGGAATGGAAGCAAAGTCATTTGCCATGTGAGCCTTCTCTGCAGTTGGTACATCTAGATACCGTAGATGTATTTCTAGTGTCTCCAGAGGAGTCAGGGACAGTTGATCAAGACCCAGGGACAGATGGCAGCTGGTGAGAGTGTGGGAAGTGTGGAGGGGCACAATCTCCATTTCCATGCTCTGTGGCGGGGGCTTCATGGGGGTGGGCCTCCTGGCCAAGCTCTGGAAATGGACCCAAGGCTCAGAGAATAGGCTGGCCCTCTTCCCCTCCCCCAGTGCCATGTTCTTCACTCCTTGCTCTTCTCTCGTTCTCTGTTAAAAAAATTACCTGAAACTTAGAATAAGCTACAGAGAAGTCAGCACGTGTTTTCCATGCTATTTTGAACATTGTTCGGTGGGTCTAATGGGGATTATTGAGTTATCCAGGGAATGTAACTCTGTTTGATGTTCTGTTCATTATTGAGTAAAGACCAGACTCTGAAGTTATATGTTTACTTGTGGGTCTTTTTGTCCCTGAGAGGTGCAAATGATTATTGTCTAATAGAAAATTTCACCCCACTGGTTATGGTTTTATTGTTCTCTGAGAAATAAGTTCATTTTGTAACTAACCTAGGAATTCCCCCTTGACATTATATATTTGTGAGTAAGTGGATCAGGTTTGTAATCTTCTGAAAATTATGTTTTGACACTTCCATGTGACCCTCCCAAAGTTCTCCACATGCCAGACATTGGGTATGTCCCATAGCATTCAGGACCTGCTGCCCTCTCTCTTTGAGTTCCATCCCTCACCAGGTTGACTCAGGGAGACTCTGAAATAGGCCTCCTCACACACCTACCAGTTGCCATGGAGGGGAGAAATGGTCAAGACCACAGTGATAAATAAAAATATTAGTGAGTCAAAAACTGTCCTGATGGATGTAAACACTGGCCCCTTGTTCAGTGGCTTAGAAGCTGTCAGGAACACCCACTAGTCAGCTGGGAGTCCAGAGAAAGTGACACCAAGAATGTCATATTTGGCCCTTGCTAAATACCTCCTCCTATCCAGGTAGTTAGGTAAGGTTTCACACTGCCTTTATTGCCCCTCCCCCCCCCCCATTGCAGATAGGGACTTTTGGTTTATGAACTTAGGATGCCAGGAGGCAAGAAAATGAGCAACCTGCTCTTGGAGCAATAGACTTTCCTGTTTTCCGGTTCCAAACTTTTCAGAGTTTTTTTTGTTTGTTTCTAACACACATCTGGATTCCCCAGAAACAGAGACATTATGAGTGAACACCAGAGAGCACTGACTACAAGTCCCATTGGCCTGAAGAGCCATATTTCTTCCCTGCTAACCTTATTCCTAGGGATTTGTCACCTGCACCAACAGTGTAGCTAGACTACCCAGGTGCAGCTGGCAAAACCCCAAATATGAGAGTCAAAGACTCAGGAACTAGGCCTTGTGCCAGAGATAGGGTGACAAAAACCTCAGAGCCCCATAAAAGCCATTTCTTATTGTCAAATTAGCCACTGACTTTGATTTTGAAAGAGAACCACACTAGTGTATCCCTGTAAGCTGCTGGAAAGCCAGCATTTGCTGAAGCATGGGTCCAGAAAACCACTCTACTCTCCAGAGTAGAGATCTGACCAGAGCATGTACATTGAAAATTGCTTTCACACACACACATCATTTTAAAAATAGAATTAAATAAAACAGAAAGGATGGTGCAGGGATGTTCTAGTAAACTAGTAAGTGTCATTGAGGTAGTTTTCATGAGGGAGAATTTAATGACCCAGAATCTGGCTCCCACTGCAAAAAGAACACATTGCCTTCTTAAAAAGAAGATGAAAAAAGATTAATTAGCTTTTGTGGAAAAAAAAAGAAAGGAGAAAAACCAGTTTCCCCTGGCAAATGTCAACTTGTAAAAAAGTTTTTGTTTTGTGTGTTTTTTTTTGGGGGGGGGAAGATACTGATCTATGCACTGAAAACAAATCAGAGTAAATACATAGTTTATAAGTTTTAGCAGTAAG